CAAAGGGATATTACACATATATATATAGCTTCAATCGATCCTATACATTCTTGTGCTGATTACCTCAAAATCAATACGCTGCAGCTGCATACACGAATAAAGCCATGTGGGACTGTGTACACAACATTGATGTGTTCTAGAGACTATTCGGCTCTGTAGGAAGGGGAGATCGATTGAAGGGAAAGCTCAAGTTTCAATACCATTAAGCCAAGATGGTGGTTCACAGGATGTAAGTTATGATATCAGATATAATACTTCAAAAATAACAAATTTCTATAATCAATATATAACATTTATTGTTGATGAAATATATTTTCACAGAATCAAAAGAAAATTCAGCTCAATGTCAAAGACTACACATATATAATATTTGCAGAAAGAAGTTGGTTAAAAAAAAACATACAATAGCTGACAAATTAGCTAAGAAATGAAGGAAATAGTCCCAACAACATTCTCAGAAGTGCTCATGTGAGTTTTGTTTTTGAATGAATGCAACATCCAGCAAGTTTTTGTATCATCTAGTTTATATTTTGTTGGTCAAAACAACCTACCTACTGACCCTGGCTTTATTCAATTAGTCCCCACTGACTATATAACAAAACTTGAAAAGAATTTAGGCGCAGCTCCTTCAATATATGACTAAAGGCTCCTCCTCCTCCTCCTCCTCCTCCTCTTCCTCTTCTTCTTCTTCTTCCTCTTCTTCTTCCTCTTCTTCTTCTTCTTCCTCCTCCTCCTCCTCCTCCTCCTCCTCCTCCTCCTCCTCCTCCTCCTCCTCCTCCTCCTCCTCCTCCTCCTCCTCCTCCCTCCTCCTCCTCCTCCTCCTCCTCCTCCTCCTCCTCCTCCTCCTCCTCCTCCTCCTCCTCCTCCTCCTCCTCCTCCTCCTCCTCCTCCTCCTCCTCCTCCTCCTCCTCCTCCTCAATTCTCATTGCATCTCAATTTGTATCTATCATTTGTATTTATCTTCATTTTAAACATCCCCTAAACCATGCCCCCAAAAGAGCAAAGAATTCCCATAGACAACATTCCATCATACTTCTGACACGACTGTCGTCGAGGATCCGGAACCGTCGCCATGGGGATATGCGGACGGGATTCCACGCAGCTTCCAATTTTGAGAAAAGCCTGATCCCAATGCAGCCATCTTCCTCGGTAAATAAATCAATATGTAGAGCGAGACGTGATTTCTCATATAATCAGTACGAGTGGGATTGACTATACGGTTCAGCTCGGGAGCTAGACACCATGTGAAAACAGGTGTTTCATTATGATGAGTAGTTTTTGATGAGATATACGGATGGAAGCTTCCTCATCAAATGAAGAATAAATTGAGTAGGCTGCCACTCTTTAAACTTTAAATTGACATTTTTTTAAAGCACTATCCCCATAAAAGAGCATAATTTCCATGAAAATGATGGTCAAAAATTTTGTGAAAAACTGAAGAATAACTCTAGAAAATTTTGAACAAAATAATATGAGCACAGAGTATATAAAGAAATATAACATTGAAACTTGCAATATAAAAATTATGATTCTGATCCTCCACAAAAAACATGGCAGAATGAATTGAACTTATTAACTTAAAACTTGATCGAGTGCCAATGTATTGATTCGATATGCTTCGCTAAACTTTTAATCAGATTTCTCTGATTATAATCTTGAATTTCTTGATAAATGGTAAAAAATTATCACCATCTATTTTATCGCTTGTGTAACATAGAGTCAATGCACGTTTGGCTCTCAGTAGGTTAATCATAGATCAATATTCAATCCATTTAATATTTGAAGGAGCTTCAAAAAAGATATTCTCTGAGAATAGTTTCATTTTTGAGGGGAGATCTGAAACCAATCATGATGCTAATTCATGAATTGTGCTTATTCAGAGCATTTGATTCAGTAATAAATAAGTATAGTATAAAGTTCATTGTGTTTAATAATAAAAATGCATATTTATCTGCATGTATGTGTGAGTAGGCTTCTGCAAAAATGGTTTATATTTACAAAAGACAGACATTACATGCACTGATGCACCACTTAGATACACCACACACAGTTTAGGGCATAAGTCCATTTGATGAATTGTTTACCATTAATCTGCTAAAGTGCAGGGAGTGAGGAATAACAGTTTAGTCTCCGGGACTCACTGAAGACACTTGTTCATCCCTCCCATGGGGAATCCTACATCAATTTGTAAATTGACTACCTCTCTGGGCTCTAGCTCCAAAGCACTTTCCCCTCCCCATCTCCCCCATCTCAAACAAGGTGTATGGATTGCCACCTTAAAGGAGATAATTGACGCCATGTTCTTGTAATTTGAAGTTCAAAACCATTCTTACTTGCGACACATAATGGAAGGTCTGAACTCTATAGAACATAGACTGACTCTTAAAAAGGGCTAGGGGGCTGGCATAGCTACAGGAGGAGCATATGCCCCCAACATAAAACAAAACAGAACAGAAAAGGAAAGAAAGCAGGGATAGGGGGAAGGGAACATGAACAATGCTATCATCCCCTCCCATATCCTCCCCTTAATCAACAGCCTTGTAGATCTAAATTTCCTCTACCAAATAAGACCGGTGCCCCCCCCCCCTCCCCCTTATGCTGGTGCCCCCTCTATGTCAGAGCCCATGCTACACCACTGCAAGGGCCTGTTCTGAAGCTCTGCCCTTTGTGACCCTGATCAAGCTTGATTATTCATTCAATTTCATGTATTTCATTCCATTAAAGCCGTGAACGCTTATGGGTACTATGGTTTAGTTTGTCTTAACTTATCATCTGGATTGTGTTATACAATTTTACTTGTTTATTGTACAGGGAACCCCACTTACAATCTTAAGCTTCTCTCGGGTTCCCTAACCATTTTGTATATGTCCTTCGAACATTGTTTTTATTTCAGATTTTTTAGATTTTTTTAATGGTCTTAAACCAATTAATGAAATGAAAAAAATGAAGTTATGCATGGTGATTTCTATGTTCATATCTGCACAAGATAGCAGGATAATTTTGTACATCTTTTAAAATATTTTTCTCTTACTTCTTGCCAGCTTCTCCATAGAGTTGGGTATTACCTTTAAAAGGGCCCGGTAACTTTGTCTCAGATTCTGAAACAAAATCCTTGATTAAGCTCATGCTGCAATGATAATCATAAACCTTTAGGTCAGTCAGGAACCCCGTAAATTTTACAAGCCGATCGCTGGTCTGATTATCAAGATATTTATGATTGGAAATCTAACGGTTTTCATAACACTAGAGTCTATTGGTGAAAACAAGTATGGTAAAACCGGTCATTTAAAGATTTTTATTTGATTTTTTTATTTTTTTATTTGATTTTTTCTTGATCATTTTGAAGCGCAATTTTTTTAGGGCTTCAATATTACACTATATCACAGACACTGATAACACGTAGGGCTGTGCATCTCACATATAACATTGTTAAATGATGCATTTAAGCATCTTTTTCTTTTTAAAATCTGAAATTAATCTCCCTTGATTAAATTTTGCTTTAACCCCCTTCCAATCCCATAAACTATGATCAAAAGTAAGGTTTGTTCAGAGCATACTGTATTTGCCGGCGTAAAGGCCGCATAATTTTGGGAAGAGAAATCGGGGGTGCGGCCTTTACGGCGCTGCGGCCTTATCGCCAGCAAATACGGTATACTTTATCACAGAGACAACGTCCTTCTGATTCTGAACAGTATATAAGGCAGAAAGCTTTTGAGCTTGAATGGACGTGAGGGATTGAAAAGAGAGATGCACCGACTAGTTGTGCTCTCCTAAATGTGTACGTATTTTCTGCAGAGAAAAAAAAATGAGTGGAAGGGGGAGGGGTGAGGGGAGACATGACAGGCATGTACTTAAGCACTCCAACCTATTTCTCATCCAGAGAAAGCACAAGGACCTACATGAACAGCTGCACATAATGACCACTCAACACTTAAAACACCACCCGCTATTTGCTCCGCTTTCGACTACACGTCTGACGTTCATTCAGATGAACCTAAATTAAGCTTTTCACTTATTATTATTCCATTAAAGGCATATATTCATCAAGGTAGTCAAATTCACACTGCACAAGCACAAAAGAAAAATTTAAGTGCTTTTCCATTATCTTTTTGCCAAAAATTCAGAGAACTTCTTGCCTTTCGTCAAAGCAATAAATCTCAACTATGATGGTATTTCCTTTGCAGATAAATCTTCAATCTGCAAAAAATAAATATTTGACTGAAATATGTTGCTTGATAAACTAGCGGTGTGTTAGACATCTGCACATTTTAAGAAGCCCTGTGTACCCCTAAATCTGATGCTTGTACGATTAAAGAGCATCAAGCTCTGACAGTATATGAGGAATATAGAATAATTCATCATCTGCCATTTCTGCACTGCAAAGACGTCTTGCGAAGCTCATCAATTTGACCTCTATGAATACGAAGCATTGGGTAGCAAAAAAGACCTGTTCTTGGGAATTAATCCTGTAAGACAACCCCCCAGGGTGCTCTTATTGATGCTAATCATAGGCTTGTGACCTTCACTGACCCGTCACCGTGGAGATAAGAGACCCATTTATGCCCATCATAGCCTCTAGAAGGATACAAGCTCTTCAAATCAAATTTCTTCTAATCTTGTAATATATGGACCTATCAGAGATGTAAGTTACAAATGCACTGAAGACAGCTTCCTTTCAAGTGTTATCTGAACCATTTCTTTTCAAAATGAAATATGTCATTTGTTAAGAATTCCCATAATTATTCTACTGCTGTCTTTAAAATTAGATGTACCTTCCCCTAATTTGTACTACCATTGTACCTTTCTCATGTAGACGATGTATATTTTCATTCCCTATGAGTAATCATCAATATCACTATTGTAATCACATCATCACCATCATCATCATTCACCTTATCATCATCATCAAAGCCACCACATACCAACACCACCGCCGTCACCATCATCATCATCATTACCTCCTCCTCCTCCTCCTCCTCTTCCTCATCATCATCACTTACTTCCTGATACTCCTTGGAAGAATGAAGCTAGCAGTAGGAAGATGGAACAGGTCACAACCGCCCAGTACAACAGCTTCCATATGATTGATGTCTTAGCAGCCATGTTGCATTAGTATCTGACACTATATATATCAGCAGTCTGGGGGAAGACATAAAAAATAAATAATGAGTTACAACAATTGCTGTCGACTATTAAAGAATAGAGGAGAAACTGTTGCACTTTTAATTACTTTGGTCATGATCAAAGAAAATAAACAAGAATGTATCAAATTGTAAATTTAAAGAATACAAATATTACAAAATACCAACAACAATTGAAAAACAAAATGAAAGTAACTGCTGATTAGACTTACTTTGGAGACACATAATAAAACTTAAAGTCCATGATTTATACCAATACATTGATATCAAGAGCTAAAAATGAGAACCTCATCAAAGTTGACTCAAAAGATTGGTAAATCTAAGTTAGATGTGGAAGTCTTAATGTCCAAAGACACAATCAGACCTCAATAGGAATAAGTCGAACAAGTCCAATCGGCATATAGTCAAGGGAAACAAGAAATGGTGTCTTGATAGGCAGGTGGTCTAGTGGTTGCCAAATCACTGTCACTATACTTTCATATGCATCACACAAATGGCAGCTTTATCTTTAGAACTTACCCCTATTCCTGCAATATCACACAAAAAAGGAAAAGACCAACCAAGGAGTTATTAGACTTCAGCCTAAAATTCAGGTTAATAACACATTTGTACAACCAACCCAAAGAACATCACTGCATGCATCGGCTCGTGTAATCATCTGAAGCAGTATACGACACCTCTACCACTACCACCACCACTGTTTCAAGACGTAAGCTTGATGTTGGAAGCATTGCAGCGAGCAACGATGACGACATAAATGAACTTTCTGCAAGAGGATGTTTAATGATATTAATCCCCTGTGTAAGCTCCACAAGGGAATACCACAAAATGAAACTCTGACCCAAATCAACATCTGAGTAAATAGCAGTGAGTCACTAATGTAGATGGAAGTATGCTGGCAGCTAGGTCGGCTGGAAAATGATTTAATTTGAGGGAAAAAATGGTATGAAATGATTTACAAAATGAATTGTTAACCTGTATCATTCAAAACAGGGTTCTTCAGATGTTTATCTGATTGGCACACGTCTGTAAAAACACAATACACTCTGATTCTCAACATACAATTAATTAGTGAAAGCAAATTATCAAAGAAGCATCTCTCTTCACAACAGTATTAACTCTATTTCTCTCTACCCCCTCTCTTTCTCTCTCTCTCTCTCTCTCTCTCTTTCTCTCTCTCTCTCTCTTTCTCTCTCTTCTCCTGTCTCTTCTACTTCTTCTGCTTCGTCTCCTTTTTATAAATATTATACAAACAAAATCATAACTATTTTCTTGGTAAAGAGGATTTTTTCCTCTTTACCAAGATAATATTTCTTTTGTCATGATACTGAAACGAAACTATACTGCTCCTAATTCAATAATCTCCCACACATTTTAGAATGAACAATATACCTCTGTTTATGCAGTAATCCAAAAATTATCTGCAATATGCCATTCCAAAAGACGTCAAAAATCATGCTCCAAATTCTGTTTATCTGCCGTGTTCTGTTTCCCAGTCACGTCGCAAGATGCAATCCAGCACGCTTAATCGAGGCTATGCTGTATCACGCTACCGAGCCAGTCTGGGGCATCCATGTCTATCGTCACGCCAGGCTGACGAGCCGTATCACAAATGATTCATTTGTTCGGTCGTCGGTGAATGACGCCGGATTAACGCTAAATAAATTGCATCCTTGGCTACCACTGAGCGCAGGTGATCACGAGCATCAGAAGAGAGACTTTAAAGGGATTGACAAAGCGATGATTAGCTTAGTAATGAGATGATTTGGGATAATTAGCCCAGAGAGGCATTATCATAATCATTGTTGTTATTGTTAGTATCACTATTACTAGTATACAGTGCATCCCAGAAAAAACGAACCCGAGAATTATCAATGTTTTATCATAAGTTAATCACAAATATGATAAATAAATGACACATACTTGTAAAGCTTAGATACTCCTCTTTCATTTGATACAACTCATATGATGCATATTTCTCAAATGAGTGATTAAAAACAATTTGAAGAGAGGAAACTAAAAAGTCATTTTTAGGGCAGTATCTGAATTTCAAAGAGAAAATCACATCTGCCCTTTCATATGACACCTCAATCAGGAAAAATGAGCCAGGAATAACAAAGTTATGTTTGTTTACAATAATGCTTGCATTTCCATAGTTTGATTAAACGAATTCATTTTCACCTGTGCCTGCCGTAGCAACAAATAGAGTTGACAAAAGACTGAACTCAGTTTCGTTCGATCAGCCATGCATCAAGTCTTTCATCTTCTTTGTGACCGAGGCAATGCTGCGGCGGCCCTATATTGCGATTGGCTGTAGATATTTTAGACCCCACGGCCACCGCGGCAAATGTGACCTAGGCATTAACGCCCTTCTGATATTATCTCGTCAACCGGTTTGCAGAAGGGCGTCAGGGCGCGAGCGACTCAAAAACTACTTTACAAATTATTTGTATTTAAAGATTTGTTTTATATTCAAACTGCTCTCTCACCCGAAAATAGGTTTATAACTTAAAAGACTAATAGAAATGTTACAGTAGAACACGGCCACAATTTTTTTCGGAAATAAGTCAGTTTTATAAAAGTTTGAGGCGATTTAGTGCTAACGCCCTTCTGCTTAACGCTTCATTTTTTACCTGAAATTCGAGCTAATGCCCTTCTGCCAGCCAGGCGACGATCTTTGATCACTGATGCATAAGACTGGTCTCATACATCAAAATGTCACAGAAGGAAGGATAAAAGCATGATATAAATATGTATCTCGATCAATATCAAGAGAATGAAAAGGGATACAATACATCATACTACAGACATATCTAGAGCATGCAGGAGCATAAAGACAGATGAAAATAAATCAGAGAGGGGCAAGATCAGGTGACAATATGTCATATCAGGTGATCGTAAAGCTGTTTGTCAAGATTTGTCAGAATCAATAAATTTCTTGTTGAAGAAGTAGGTTATGCTAACTGTGGTGGATAAATAAAAACAGATCACTGTTTTTTCTTTATTGTGTTTCTAGCATTGCGCTGACCTGGTTATTGAGACATTCTAGAGAGAAATTTAACTGTGATGAGGGGAAGAGAGGGAGAGAGGGGGAGAGAGGGGGAAAAGAGGGAGATAGGGAAAGAGGGGGGAAAGAGAGGAAAAGAGAGGGAGAGAGGGGGAGAGAGAGAGTGGGGAAAGGAGGGGGAGATGGGAAAGAGAGGGAAAGAGAGGGGGAGAGAGGGAAAGAGAGGGGAGAGGGGGGAGAGAGGGAAAGAGAGGGGAGAGGGGGAAAGAGAGGGGGAGAGGGGGAAAGAGAGGATGAGAGAGGGTGAGAGAGAGAGAGAGAGAGAAAGGAGATGATATGTGATGTCTATATCTCTTTGGAGAATCAAAGCAAAATTGCTGCACAGTTCTGTCTATCATCTGCTGAATGCCATGAGATCCTTTATCTCATTTACACATTACTTCACCTGGGTGGCAAGAGGCAAATAAAGCTTAATGTCTTGGCAAAGGACACAGATGCAATGGCTGAGACTCGAACCACAACCTCTGTAATCCACGATATGGCGAGGAATCCACTAAACAATGACACCACTCTATGCATTGAACATACTGTAAAAAAGAAGAAAAATCAAAAAATCTTCATTCCCTGAACCACTTACTTCCCATATGAACAAAATGAAAACAAGGTAAGGTTATTTGTGTCTTGATACATGAGAAAAAACATTATAAACTACTAAGTACAATATCTTGAAAGAAAGAATAGATGCAAACTGTAAGAGGGTGGATCAATAATTGTTGCTAGGGGGATGTTTTTCTCTCTTTTACTCACAGCCTTAATTGTTGTGATTTGGTGAGCGAAACGGTTTTGGGAGCGAGAGATTTGACACCTTTGCACGTTCGTTCGAGACGTATCCGATAACCTTGCTTTAAAACAACAATCATGCAATGCTGGATATGGATTGGAGCTGTCACGGCAGAACGCTATCTGGTTTCCTTCTTTCGCCAAAAAGAGGGCTTATTTCCTTCCCGTAGAATAATCGTGTATTTGATGATAATCTGTTGTTGAAACTGGGTATTAGGGATATGAAGTGTCTGGATTTTAAGACGGGTCATTCCTGGAAAAACGCATAGTTTTCGTTAATGTGTTTTGTATAGCGAGGCCCAAGATGACCGACATGAGTTTGAGAGATGCCTTCAATACAATTACTAAATGAAATCTTATAAAAGAATGATAAAAAGACAACGCTACTATGATCACAAAGATTTTCGAGAAATCAGCTCAAGGGCAATTTCTATACGATATCATATTATCTATCATGTTTAGATTGTGTATTACATTTTTTGTAAAGTTCACAGATTTCATTAGTAAATGGAGAATGCTTTTGAAATTGCCTTATTTCAAAAACATGTTTCATTGTGTTCACAGCATTTTGTCTATTTATGACATCATTTTATTGTTCATGTTCAGTACTGTAAAGCAGGGCTCCCACTTAGCCGAGTTGAAGCCTCGAGTTGTGGCGAGCTGGCGCGATCTTATGGCAAGCAGTTTTATCATTAAAACATATTTCTTGATATCAAGAATTAAATTCTTGATATCACGAAATCGAATTCCTGATATCACGAAATCGAATTCTTGATATCAAGAATTACCATTGCTTTACAACATAAAATTATTTCTTAATAACGAGAATTTATTTATTGATATCAATTAATAATAAAACGGCTTGCCAGAAAATTGCGCCAGCTCGCCACAACTCGAGGGTTCCAACTCGGCTAAGTGGGAGCCCTGCTTTAGTCAGCTATAAAATTGTAAAAGGATAGGTATTTTAGAGTTGAAAAAAACATCTGCTCAAACATATTACATGAAGGTACATATTAAAATGTATTTAAATAACAGAAATACAATTCACAGTCATACAATCAGTTTAATTTTTAATTTGTTTTCATCATGTCTATAGATTTCTTTTGAACTTTCATAAGTATCTTTGAAAAGGTATCCTTGCCTGTATATAG